CTTTCAAAAGCCAATAGGAATTGTCCAGGCTGACTCTGCCCTGCTGAGCCCGCCAAAAGTCCCATTCTGCAAACGGTGCTGCAAGTTGTCTGCAGTGAAGGCGAGCTGTCTGGAAGTTTCCACCCCTCCCTGCTGAGCAACTACTAAAAATGTAAGTAAAAGAGGGCTAGGGGTGGGAGGAGGGAGGCCGGTGGGCACAGGGAGGGTTGCTGGCGCGCGTGGGACCCGGCAGGTGCCTTATCTCCCTTGGGCTGGGCCAGCTGGTGGCCCAGCCGGTGGTCACTCTGCACCGTCTCAGCCCTTTGCCAGCTACGCCTCAGCCTGCGCAGGGGGCGGCACCACGCATGCGCGGCGCTCCCGGGCAGGGAAAGTCCTCGACTTACGACTGGTTGGGTAGTCCTCAATTTACAACCGGTTGGGTAGTCCTCGACGTACGACCAGTTGGGGGTCACAGCATTAAAAAGGTTGAGAACCACTGTTCTAGTGAAATATAGACACCTATAATACATATACAGTGAGGGAAAAAATTATTTCACACACACACACACACACACACACACACACACGGTTGATTTTGTACGTTTCCCCACTGACAAATGATCAGTCCATAATTTTATATAATTTATAACTTTTTTGAAATGCGTTTTTCTGGAATTTTTTTTTGTTGTTGTTATTCTGTCTCTTCTCACTGTTAAAATAAACCTGCCATTACAATTATAGACTGATCATTTCTTTTGTCAGTGGGCAAACATACAAAATCAGCAGGGGATCAAATAATTATTCCCCTCACTGTAGGAAGATCATATACACCTCATATTTACATGTGATTCAGGGGCAATGCCAGGTTTGTCCCACTTTATTACTCTATTAAGAGGAAGCTAACAAGCTCATAATCACTTAAGGATGGAACACACAAACAAGAACATAGAATAATAGAGTTGGAAGGGACTTGAATGTCTTGAAATCTAACTCCTGCCCATGGCTGGAGATTCTATACCAGTGATGGCGAAACTTTTAGAGACCGAGTGCCCAAACTGCAACCCAAAACCCACTTATTTATCACTGGGTGCCAGGTAGGCGTGGCCCACTGGGTCGCATAGCTGTGGTGGTCATGGCAGACTGGGTGGGTGTGGCCAAGGTGGGCATGGTCATCTCAATGTTGCTTGGGAGGGATGCCTGTGGGGACCGGGCAGGGTTGGGGGAGATCCAGGGGGTCTCTGGCAAGTGGGGCGGTGGGCAGGAGGTTTGTCCTGCAAGCTGAGGCAGGGCGGGGGTGCCATTGTCGCAAGGCAAGGCAGGGGCCAGGGCGGCTGCTTCCTGACACCATCGGCTCCCGCACATAGAGGCCAGTGAGTGCATGGGGGCCGACTGTCCGTCAGTAGCCACAGCCTGCCGGGCCCTTGACCGGCACACTTTGGGGGTCCGCAGCCCACCTCCAGCAGTTCAGAGAAGCCGCTTCTGAACTGGACGGCCGGCCGACAGCTGAGGAGGTGATGCAGTGGGTCGTGCCCAGGAAAAGGAGAGCATGTGAGGCCAGGAGGGATGAGAGGGGGGAGGGAAACCAGCCATGCTGGGATGCATCCGGCCACGTGGGACCTCGGTGAGTTAGCAGGCAATTGGTTGAAGAGGGATGGTTGCCATCATTGGGGCATGACAGGCGTGCCCACAGAGGGCTCTGAGTGCCGCCTCTGGCATGCATGCCACAGGTTCGCCACCACTGTTCTATACCATTTCAGTCAAATGGTTGTCCAATCTCTTCTTTAAAACTTCCAGTGATGGAGCACCCATAGCTTCTAGAGGCAAGCCGTTCCACTGATTGACAGTTCTCACTCTCAGGAAATTTCTCTGTAGTTCTAGTTTGGATCTTTCTTTAATGATCTTCCACTCACTACTTCTTGTCTTGCCCTCTAGTGCTTAAGAGAATAGGCTGCCCCCCCCCCCGTCTTTGCAATAGCCACTCAAGTACTGAAAGACTGCTATCATATCACCCCTCAGTCCTTATCTTCATTACACTGGACATGCCTAGTTCTCTCAACTGTTCATCGTATAGTTTAGCTTCCATGCCTTTATAATCTTTGTTGCTTTTCTCTGCACTCTTTCTAGAGTCACAGCATTTTTATTGTATAATATTGTATTGACCAGAACTGGATACAGTATTCTAAGTGTGGTCTCAAACTTATCCTTTCATGTCACCTTGATTCTATGCCTTTGTTGATGTAACTGCATTAACTTTTTTGGCAGCTGCAGCACACTTTGGCTCATATTTAAGTGAGGGTCTAATAGGGAATCTAGATCTCATGGTTGCTACTGTTGAGCCAGGTACTACATGTTCTATACCTGTGCCTTTGGGGTTTTTTGCCTATGTCTAGGACAGTGGTTCTCAACCTTTTTAATGCTGCAACCCCCAACCGGTTGTAAGTCGAGGACTACTCAACCGGGCGTAAGTCGAGGATTACTCAATTGGTGCAGCACCGTTTGCAGAATGGGACTTTTGGCGGGCTCAGCAGGGCAGAGACAGCCTGGACAATTCCTATTGGCTTTTGAAAGCCAATAGAATTAGACTCTATTCAAGAGAGTCTATTCTATTGGCTTTCAAAAGCCAATAGAATAAAAGGGAGTAGCACAGCTAAGGAAAAGGGGGAAAAATGGCGGACTGCGTTGTTTAGCGACTCCCGTGAAATGGTCGTTCGACCCCAAATGGGGTCCTGACCCACAGGTTGAGAACCACTGGTCTAGGACCTTAAAATTCTTCTCACCACTGAATTGTATTTTGTTGAGTAGGGCCCAGTGTTCGAGTATGTCAAGATCTTTCTGAACCTTCAGTCTAGATTCTAAAGTGTTGGCTATTCCTCCCACCTTGAAATTAATGAATTTTTAGGGCCCAACAAAGGTAGGTTTTGAGGAGTTATCCTGCACACACACACACGCACACACACACACACACACACACACACACACACACACACTTTCCCTTAGTTCTCACTTCTTGCAAATGAAGTTTCTGGCTTTGATTAATTGATTTATTAATTGATTGATTGACTCATTCATTCATTTATAAAAATGTATATGGCCACCCAATTCAGTCATGGTGACTTCGGCTGCCTAACAATAAACCTCCTGTCATACAAAAATTAATGAACTAACACCCCCCTGGTTACAGTGCAGTTGTGCAGTTGCAGTGGCGATGAGTGCTCTTAGGGAGACCAGAAAGAACAAATTAGTGATAGTCCGTCCTGGAGAGAAGCTATCAATGTAGTCGGGAATGTTGAAAACCATTTGATGGCACGTAATTAATCAAAAAATCTAGCAAACACCGTACAATAGACAGAACGAACGTGTTTTTCAGGCTTCTGCCGCTAGATGGCGTGCTATAGATCCGCAACAGCAGTGTCTAGAAAGCCGTCAACGCAGCTGAGCGCTGACATCCAACAGGATGGGGAGACTGAGGCGAAAGGCGTTGAAACAATCGGGTATTGCTAGAGAGGACGCGAGAGGGAGCATAAGGGAAGAGGAACTTCCTCTTCCGGCACCCATGGGAGGATGGTGGCACAGACAGTGGCTCTCGCGCTCTTCCCAGGGTCAAAGCAGCAACTGAAAGGTGAGTTGAGGGCTGATCGGAGGAGATTCAGGGATCAAGTAGGACTGCTTGGTTTCCTCCACAGTGTAGAAACAGAGAATCAACTAGGCTGAAACATGTCAATTGCTACTGCACGTTCCTTCCCTCTCCAAATTAAATTCCACGGGTGCCACTTGCATTAAAAATGGTGCCTTCAATTTTCTGCTGGTTGGGAGATTCTTCAGTTTAGAGTGGACTCCTTGGGCTTTTTGTGAGCATGTTGTTTTCTTGGCCAAGAAAGGATTTGTCATTGGCAAATCTGTTGCTTTAAATCTTGCAGAGGCTATGGACATCATTTCTTCTGGTTGAAGCCCCTCACATCTCCAAAATTAGACCAAAAAATTTGAGGATACCCATTTCTGGGACATGATTAGGCTGAAATACACATGGATTTTCAATATGCATACATTTGAAGGTGTGTGTATCTGTATTTCTCTCCGTGTGCATGTCTGTATATTTTATCCTCAGCATTTCCAGATATATTTGATGATAATCCTTTATAATGCTAAGAATTTGTGATTTAGTCAAATCAACGAGAGAATCTCCCAGTTGTGTGGATATTTGAATCTCGCTAGTGTTCTATGTGTCAAATGAATCATAATTAATGTTAGGGATCAGTCAGACTTGTGGTTTTTCACATGGTGGGCACCCATTTTATAAATAGCCATTAAACTAAGTCTTTATGTCAATCTTATAGACAAAGAGGATGCCAAGAAGAGCATTTTGGACAAGTGAAAATCACAAGCAACATTAAAAAAGAAAGTGAATCTAGTCAGCAATCAAAATCTTCCAGTTTCCTCCAGAAAATCTTCTCCTTCCCTATCAAGTGACAGACAAGAGAGAATAACAGGAACAGAGTTTTGAGCTGGAAAAAATTGAGTCTGTGGAACTCAAGGAAACACTCCACAAAAAAGTCAAGGAGGAATCATATCCAAATTCAGAAAAAAGATGGAAATATCTGGAAATCAGTGGGGAGAAACCTGTGACTTGGATAGCTATGTAGGGCAGGCAGTCATGCAAACCTTGCCCTGTGAAGAAATAAAGAGTAGCTTGAATCAAAGCACCAGGCAAGACGGGATCCAAAATATTTTTGACCTCCAGAATCCAAGAATACCATTGATGGAAACACCAAACAGATGTGGAAAAAGCATGGATTGTGGATCACAATTGATTATGCACAAGAGTTTCCACACTGGAGAAAAGCCAAATGAATGTTCCGAGTATGAGAAGGTCTTATGCTACAGCTCCTACCCTTTTGAGAATACAAGGACTTACACCAGAAAGAATCCATACCAAAGCTTCCAGTATGGCAGAAATTTAAGCAAGCACACTCCTCTAGTGTTACCCCAGAGGACTCCTACAGGTGAGAAACCGTATGAGTGTCCAAATTGTGGGAAAGCTTTCAGTCAGAATTCCCACCTTGTAAACCATCAGAGAACTCATACAGGGGAGAAACCGTACGAGTGTCCAGATTGTGGGAAAGGTTTCAGTCAGAATTCCAATCTCTTGATGCACCAGAGGACTCACACAGGGGAGAAACCATATGAGTGTCCAGATTGTGGAAAAAGTTTCCGTCTTAATTCCCATCTGGTGGTACACAGGAGGTCGCATACAGGGGAGAAACCATATGAGTGTCTGGATTGTGGGAAAGGTTTCACTCATAGTTCCCACCTTGTGATACACCGGAGAACACACACAGGAGAGAAACCTTATGAGTGTCCAGATTGTGGGAAAGGTTTTCGTGTAAATTCCCACCTGGTGGCACACCAGAGAATTCACACAGGAGAGAAACCGTATCAGTGTCTGCATTGTGGGAAAAGTTTCAGTCAGAATTCCCAACTAGTGGTGCACCAGAGGACACACACAGGAGAAAAACTGTATGAGTGTCCAGAGTGTGGAAAAAGTTGCACTCACAATTCCGACCTCATGGTACACCTGAGGACACACACAGGAGAGAAACCGTATGAGTGTCCATATTGTAGGAAACGTTTCAGTCACAATTCCAACTTGGTGGTACACCAAAGGATACACACAGGAGAGAAACCATATGAGTGTCCGTACTGTGGGAAAAGTTTCAGTCGGAATTCTTACCTGGTGATACACCAGAGGACTCACACTGGGGAGAAACCATATCAGTGTTTGGATTGTGGGAAAAGTTTTAGTCACAGTTCTGAACTGGTGAGACATCAGAGGATACATACAGGAGAGAAACCATATGAGTGTCCAGACTGTGGGAAAAGTTTCAGTCAGAATTCCAGCCTGGTGATACACAAGAGGACTCACACTGGGGAGAAACCTTATGAGTGTTCGGACTGTGGGAAAACTTTCAGTCAGAACTGCTACCTGATTATACATGAGAGGACTCACACAGGGGAGAAACCATATGAGTGTCTGTATTGTGGGAAAAGTTTCATTCGGAATTATGCCTTGGTGATACACCAGAGGACTCACACAGGGGAGAAACCATATGAGTGTTTGGATTGTGGGAAAAGTTTCCGTCTCAGTTCCCACCTAGTGGTGCACCAGAGGATTCACACTGGGAAGAAACCATATGTGTGTCAGGATTGTGGGGAAAGTTTCAGTCAGAATTGTCTTTTGATATACCACCAGAGGGCACACACAGGAGAAAAACCGTATGAGTGTCCAGAGTGTGGGAAAAGTTTCAGTAACAATTCTCACCTGGTGGTGCACCAGCGGATTCACACAGGAGAGAAACCATATGAGTGTCTGGATTGTGGGAAAAGTTTCAGTCGGAATTCCCACCTGGTGGTGCATCAGAGAACTCACACAGGGGAGAAACCCTATGAGTGTCCCGATTGTGGGAAAGGTTTTAGTACTAGGTCTAAACTTGTAAATCATGTAGGTTTGCACATAGGAGAGAAACCTTTCAAATGCTCAGAATGTGGACGGTGCTTTACTCAAAATTCCTCCCTTACCGCACACAAGAAAATCCACATGAAGCAAAAGGTGTTGAATACAGAGAAGGCATAAATTTCGTTTCTGAACTCTCGGAAATGCAGTTGAGAAATTAACTGTTTAATTTCTCAGCTCATTCACTTTATTACAGTGGTTCTCAACCTGTGGGTCGCGACCCCATTTGGGGTCGAACGATCATTTCACGGGGGTCGCCAAAGAACGCAGTCCGCCATTTTTTCCCCCTTTTCCTTAGCTGTGCTACTCCCTTTTATTCTATTGGCTTTTGAAAGCCAATAGAATAGACTCTCTTGAATAGAGTCTAATTCTATTGGCTTTCAAAAGCCAGTAGGAATTGTCCAGGCTGTCTCTGCCCTGCTGAGCCCGCCAAAAGTCCCAGTCTACAAACGGTGCTGCACCAGTTGAGTAGTCCTCGACTTACGCCCGGTTGAGTAGTTCTTGACTTACGACCGGTTGGGGGTCACGGCATTAAAAAGGTTGAGAACCACTGATATTGATCATCTTAGGGCATAGAAATCCAACATACAAAATATTAACCTACCTAGATGTCCTCCAGACTTTTGGACCAGAATTCCTCAGCCAGCGTACTTATTGAATAAAATATTTTGGAACATTTCTGGCAGGTCCCAGAAATCTGTGGCAACACTTAAAAATACAGTGTTAAAAAATAGGAGCACTCATATTGTCATTCCTCAAATACAACCAATAAAAGACGGTTTAGAGTTCATCTTTTTCTAACATTTTCAGAATTTTAGGTCAAGGAGAATCATATTTAGATGATGGGTAGGCTAAAGGACAGCATAGAGAATATACAAGGGAGGGCATAGTAAAATTTTACAGGTAATGGCTGTTGAACAATATTAAGAATATTGAAGAGAAACGATTGTGCTTTTGAGTGTAGGACCTTCATGTTTATTAGCAATCCTCCTATGATCTTGTGCCGTGGTGGCGCAGTGGTTGGAATGCAGTACTAGAATGTAGGCTACTTCTGCTGACTGCCGGCTGCCAACAGTAGGCAGTTCGATTGTTACTGGCTCAAGGTTGACTCAGCCTTCCATCCTTCCGAGGTCATTAAAATGGGGACCCAGATTGTTGGGGAGGGCAATATGCGGACTCTGTAAACCGCTTAGAGAGGGCTGCAAAGCACTGTGGAGCAGTATATACGTCAAAATGCTATTGCTATTACAGGTACCCTTTCATGACTGGTGGGTGATATTAATGTCAAGATGCTGCCCTTAGTGGTGGAGATCCTGAGAAAAACTCTGATAAATGTTTCATTTTGTAAACATTTATAAAAGTGCATTGTGTAAGAACCATAACGTTTGACAAGGAAAATAAAAAGGCAGTATCAGCATTGCTGTGAACACGAGGCAAGGAAATGCAAACTTCTCAAGACAGGGGATATTCTTTCAATTCTTTCACGCCAATCTTGGGGCTCTTTTTAAAATTTTCCCCCAAAAATCCCTACTAGTAAAGAGGAAAATTATTTGGAGCAGCTAAGTGGCATTTTAGTTATGCAGACGAATGACTCTTCATTGTGCTGTATTTAAAAGACTCCAAAGAATTCAAGATAGGTTTGTTACAATCTAATGAAATGTAGACACCTATAATACAGATACAGTGAGGGAAAAAATTATTTCACACAAACACACACAGACACACACACACAGTTGATTTTGTACGTTTCCCCACTGACAAATGATCAGTCCATAATTTTACATAATTTATAACTTTTTTGAAATGCGTTTTTCTGGAATTTTTTTTTGTTGTTGTTATTCTGTCTCTTCTCACTGTTAAAATAAACCTGCCATTACAATTATAGACTGATCATTTCTTTTGTCAGTGGGCAAACATACAAAATCAGCAGGGGATCAAATAATTATTCCCCTCACTGTAGGAAGAACATATACACCTCATATTTACATGTGATTCAGGGGCAATGCCAGGTTTGTCCCACTTTATTACTCTATTAAGAGGAAGCTAACAAGCTCATAATCACTTAAGGATGGAACACACAAACAAGAACATAGAATAATAGGGTTGGAAGGGACTTGAATGTCTTGAAATCTAACTCCTGCCCATGGCTGGAGATTCTATACCAGTGATGGCGAAACTTTTAGAGACCGAGTGCCCAAACTGCAACCCAAAACCCACTTATTTATCACTGGGTGCCAGGTAGGCGTGGCCCACTGGGTGAGCGTGGCTGTGGTGGTCATGGCAGACTGGGTGGGTGTGGCCAAGGTGGGCATGGCCATCTCAATGTTGCTTGGGAGGGATGCCTGTGGGGACCGGGCAGGGTTGGGGGAGATCCAGGGGGTCTCTGGCAGGTGGGGCGGTGGGCAGGAGGTTTGTCCTGCAAGCTGAGGCAGGGCGGGGGTGCCATTGTCGCAAGGCAAGGCAGGGGCCAGGGCGGCTGCTTCCTGACACCATTGGCTCCCGCACATAGAGGCCAGTGAGTGCATGGGGGCCGACTGTCCGTCAGTAGCCACAGCCTGCCGGGCCCTTGACCGGCACACTTTGGGGGTCCGCAGCCCACCTCCAGCAGTTCAGAGAAGCCGCTTCTGAACTGGACGGCCGGCCGACAGCTGAGGAGGCGATGCAGTGGGTCGTGCCCAGGAAAAGGAGAGCATGTGAGGCCAGGAGGGATGAGAGGGGGGAGAGAAACCAGCCATGCTGGGATGCATCCGGCCACGTGGGACCTCGGTGAGTTAGCGGGCGATTGGTTGAAGAGGGATGGTTGCCATCACTGGGGCACGACAGGCGTGCCCACAGAGGGCTCTGAGTGCCGCCTCTGGCATGCATGCCACAGGTTCGCCACCACTGTACTATACCATTTCAGTCAAATGGTTGTCCAATCTCTTCTTAGAAAATTCCAGTGATGGAGCACCCATAGCTTCTAGAGGCAAGCTGTTCCACTGATTGACAGTTCTCACTGTCAGGAAATTTCTCTGTAGTTCTAGTTTGGATCTTTCTTTAATGATCTTCCACTCACTACTTCTTGTCTTGCCCTCTAGTGCTTAAGAGAATAGGCTGCCCCCCCCCTCTTTGCAACAGCCACTCAAGTACTGAAAGACTGCTATCATATCACCCCTCAGTCCTTATCTTCATTACACTAGACATACCTAGTTCCCTCAACTGTTCATCATATAGTTTAGCTTCCATGCCTTTATAATCTTTGTTGCTTTTCTCTGCGCTCTTTCTAGAGTCACATTATTTTTATTGTATAATATTGTATTGACCAGAACTGGATACAGTATTCTAAATGATAAATATAAATTAATATGATAAATCTTCAGTCAGTTAAAAATACAGATGATGAGAGTCAGGAAGAGATTAAGGAAGTAAGATAACCATATAGGCAAAAATAGCTGGGTCTGAGAAAGAAAGAGGAAAGTCATAAAATAGATAAATAGTTTTTTTATAGGAAATGGCTAGCCAGGAAGTATAGGAAAGCAGGAAACCATGCCAAATAAGATAAGAAGAGAGACACAATGAATAGAAAGGCAGGAAAAGAGCTTATTGTGGAGACATAAATATTGAGTTTAAAATAACCATAAGAAAATATTTTTTCTTATTCTTATTGTATATGTGAATATGATTTAGTATGTTATCAGGAAATGTGTATAGGCGGACGGAAAGAGTGTAACCTCATACTACCTCAGCCAACGGGGAAAGAGGAGGGCTGTAGCGGCCGGTGATAGGGATGAAAAAGAAGGAGATATTTTGGGTTAAAACTTTGGAGAGAACTAAGCTTTGATAAGCTTCTCTCCCCGCTTATTGCAATAAACGAAACAAAAGGCCTTCACTGTGTCTTGGCTGGTTATTGGTCAGGCGAGCTTGCCTCTAGTCACAAAGGAAAGTAGCCAGGAGCACATAACATACGTGTGGTCTCAAACTTATCCTTTCATGTCACCTTGATTCTATGCCTTTGTTGATGTAACCTAGGACTGCATTAACTTTTTTGGCAGCTGCAGCACACTTTGGCTCATATTTAAGTGAGGGTCTAATAGGGTATCTAGATCTCACGGTTGCTACTGTTGAGCCAGGTACTACATGTTCTATACCTGTGCCTTTGGGGGTTTTTTGCCTATGTCTAGGATCTTAAAACTCTTCTCACCACTGAATTGTATTTTGTTGAGTAGGGCCCAGTGTTCGAGTATTTCAAGATCTTTCTGAACCTTCAGTCTAGATTTTAAAGTGTTGGCTATTCCTCCCACCTTGAAATTAATGAATTTTTAGGGCCCACCAAAGGTAGGTTTTGAGGAGTTATCCTGTGTGCGCGCCCACACACACACACACACACACACGTTCCCTTAGTTCTCACTTCTTGCAAATGAAGTTTCTGGCTTTGATTGATTGATTGATTAATTGATTGATTGACTCATTCATTCATTTATAAAAATGTATATGATCACCCAATTCAGTCATGGTGACTTCGGCCGCCTAACAATAAACTTCCTGTCATACAAAAATTAATGAACATCCCCCTGGTTACAGTGCAGTTGCAGTGACAATGAGTGCTCTTAGGGAGACCAGAAAGAACAAATTAGTGATAGTCCGTCCTGGAGAGAAGCTATCAATGTAATCGGGAATGCTGTAAACCACTTGATGGCACGTAATTAATCAAAAAATCTAGCAAACGCCGAACAATAGAGAGAACGAGCGTGTTTTTCAGGCGTCTGTCGCTAGATGGCGCGCTATAGATCCGCAACAGCGGTGTCTAGAAAGCCGTCAACGCAGCTGAGCGCTGACATCCAACAGGATGGGGAGACTGAGGCGAAAGGCGTTGAAACAATCGGGTATTGCTAGAGAGGACGCGAGAGGGAGCATAAGGGAAGAAGAACTTCCTCTTCCGGCACCCATGGGAGGATGGTGGCACAGACAGTGGCTCTCGCGCTCTTCCCAGGGTCAAAGCAGCAACTGAAAGGTGAGTTGAGGGCTGATCGGAGGAGACTCAGGGATCAAGTAGGACTGCTTGGTTTCCTCCACAGTGTAGAAACAGAATCAACTAGGCTGAAACATGTCAATTGCTACTGCACGTTCCTTCCCTCTCCAAATTAAATTCCACGGGTGCCACTTGCATTAAAAATAGTGCCTTCAATTTTCTGCTGGTTGGGAGATTCTTCAGTTTAGAGTGGACTCCTTGGGCTTTTTGTGAGCATGTTGTTTTCTTGGCCAAGAAAGGAGTGTCATTGGCAAATCTGTTGCTTTAAATCTTGCAGAGGCTATGGACATCATTTCTTCTGGTTGAAGCCCCTCACATCTCCAAAATTAGACCAAAAAAATTGAGGATACCCATTTCTGGGACATGATTAGGCTGAAATACACATGGATTTTCAATATGTATATATTTGTAGGTGTGTGTATCTGTATTTCTCTCTGTGTGCAAGTCTGTATATTTTATCCTCAGCATTTCCAGATATATTTGATGAAACCCTTTGTAATGCTAAGAATTTGTGATTTAGTCAAATCAACGAGAGAATCTCCCAGTTGTGTGGATATTTGAATCTCGCTAGTGTTCTATGTGTCAAATGAATCATAATTAATGTTAGGGATCAGTCAGACTTGTGGTTTTTCACATGGTGGGCACACATTTTATAAATAGCCATTAAACTAAGTCTTTATGTCACTCTTATAGACAAAGAGGATGCCAAGAAGAGCATTTTGGACAAGTGAAAATCACAATCAACATTAAAAAAGAAAGTGAATCCAGTCAGCAATCAAAATCTTCCAGTTTCCTCCAGAAAATCTTCTCCTTCCCTATCAAGTGACAGACAAGAGAGAATAACAGGAACAGAGTTTTGAGCTGGAAAAAATTGAGTCTGTGGAACTCAAGGAAACACTCCACAAAAAAGTCAAGGGGGAATCATATCCAAATTCAGAAAAAAGATGGAAATATCTGGAAATCAGTGGGGAGAAACCTGTGACTTGGATAGCTATGTAGGGCAGGCAGTCATGCAAACCTTGCCCTGTGACGAAATAAAGAGTAGCTTGAATCAAAGCACCAGGCAAGACGGGATCCAAAATATTTTTGACCTCCAGAATCCAAGAATATCATTGATGGAAACGCCAAACAGATGTGGAAAAAGCACAGATTGTGGATCACAATTGATAATGCACAAGAGTTTCCACACTGGAGAAAAGCCAAATGAATGTTCCGAGTATGACAAGGTCTTTTGCTACAGCTCCTACCCTTTTGAGGATACAAGGACTTACACCAGAGAGAATCCGTACCAAAGCTTCCAGTATGGCAGAAATTTTAGCAAGCACACTCCTCTAGTGTTACACCAGAGGACGGCTACAGGTGAGAAACCGTATGAGTGTCCAGATTGTGGGAAAGGTTTTCGTGTTAATTCCCACCTTGTATACCATCAGAGAACTCATACAGGGGAGAAACCATACGAGTGTCCAGATTGTGGGAAAGATTTCAGTCAGAATTCCCATCTGGTGGTACACAAGAGGTCGCACACAGGGGAGAAACCATATGAGTGTCTGGATTGTGGGAAAGGTTTCAGTCAGAATTCCCAACTAGTGGTGCACCAGAGGACACACACAGGAGAGAAACCGTATGAGTGTCCAGATTGTGGGAAAGGTTTTCGTGTTAATTCCCACCTGGTGGCACACCAGAGAATTCACACAGGAGAGAAACCATATCAGTGTCTGGATTGTGGGAAAAGTTTCAGTCAGAATTCCCAACTAGTGATGCACCAGAGGACACACACAGGAGAAAAATTGTACGACTGTCCAGAGTGTGGAAAAAGTTGCACTCACAATTCCGACCTCATGGTACACCTGAGGACACACACAGGAGAGAAACCGTATGAATGTCCAATTTGTAGGAAACGTTTCAGTCACAATTCCAACTTGGTGGTACACCAAAGGATACACACAGGAGAGAAACCATATGAGTGTCCGTACTGTGGGAAAAGTTTCAGTCGGAATTCTTACCTGGTGATACACCAGAGGACTCACACTGGGGAGAAACCATATCAGTGTTTGGATTGTGGGAAAAGTTTTAGTCACAGTTCTGAACTGGTGAGACATCAGAGGACTCACACAGGGGAGAAACCATATGAGTGTCCAGACTGTGGGAAAAGTTTCAGTCAGAATTCCAGTCTGGTGATACACAAGAAGACTCACACTGGGGAGAAACCTTATGAGTGTCCAGATTGTGGGAAAACTTTCAGTCAGAGTTGTTACCTGGTTATACATGAGAGGACTCACACAGGGGAGAAACCATATGAGTGTCTATATTGTGGGAAAAGTTTCATTCGGAATTATGCCTTGGTGATGCACCAGAGGACTCATACGGGTGAGAAACCATATGAGTGTCTGGATTGTGGGAAAAGTTTCATTCGGAATTATGCCTTGGTGATACACCAGAGGACTCATACGGGTGAGAAACCATATGAGTGTCCCGATTGTGGGAAAGGTTTTAGTACTAGGTCTAAACTTGTAAATCATGTAGGTTTGCACATAGGAGAGAAACCTTTCAAATGCTCAGAATGTGGACGGTGCTTTACTCAAAATTCCTCCCTTACCGCACACAAGAAAATCCACATGAAGCAAAAGGTGTTGAATACAGAGAAGGCATAAATTTCCTTTCTGAACTCCCTCGGAAATGCAGTTGAGAAATTAACTGTTTAATTTCTCAGCTCATTCACTTTATTACAGTGGTTCTCAACCTGTGGGTCGCAACCCCATTTGGGGTTGAACGACCATTTCACGGGGGTCGCCAAACAACGCAGCCTGCCATTTTTTCCCCCTTTTCCTTAGCTGTGCTACTCCCTTTTATTCTATTGGCTTTTGAAAGCCAATAGATTAGACTCTCTTGAATAGAGTCTAATTCTATTGGATTTCAAAAGCCAATAGGAATTGTCCAGGCTGTCTCTGCCCTGCTGAGCCCGCCAAAAGTCCCATTCTGCAAACGGTGCTGCACCAGTTGAGTAGTCCTTGACTTACTACCGGTTGAGTAGTCCTTGACTTACGACCGGTTGGGGGTCACGGCAATAAAAAGGTTGAGAACCACTGATATTGATCATCTTAGGGCATAGAAATCCAACATACAAAATATTAACCTACCTAGATGTCCTGCAGTTTTTTGGACCAGAATCCTCAGCCAGCGTACTTATTGAATAAAATATTTTGGAACATTTCTGGCAGGTCCCAGAAATCTGTGGCAGGACTTAAAAATACAGTGTTAAAAAATAGGAGCACTCATATTGTCATTCCTCAAATACGACCAATAAAAGACGGTTTAGAGTTCATCTTTTTCTAACATTGTCAGAATTTTAGGTCAAGGAGAATCATATTTAGATGATGGGTAGGCTAAAGGACAGAATAGAGAATATACGAGGGAGGGCATTGTAAAATTTTACAGGTAATGGCTGTTGAACAATATTAAGAATATTGAAGAGAAACGATTGTGCTTTTGAGTGTAGGACCTTCATGTTTATTAGCACTCCTCCTATGATCTTGTGCCGTGGTGGCGCAGTGGTTGGAATGCAGTACTAGAATGTAGGCTACTTCTGCTGACTGCCGGCTGCCAACAGTAGGCAGTTCGATTGTTATTGGCTCAAGGTTGACTCAGCCTTCCATCCTTCCGAGGTCATTAAAATGGGGACCCAGATTGTTGGGGAGGGCAATATGCTGACTCTGTAAACCGCTTAGAGAGGGCTGCAAAGCACTGTGGAGCAGTATATACGTCAAAATGCTATTGCTATTACAGGTACCCTTTCATGACTGGTGGGTGATATTAATGTCAAGATGCTGCCCTTAGTGGTGGAGATCCTGAGAAAAACTCTGATAAATGTTTCATTTTGTAAACATTTATAAAAGTGCATTGTGTAAGAACAATAACGTTTGACAAGGAAAATAAAAAGGCAGTATCAGCATTGCTGTGAACACGAGGCAAGGAAATGCAAACTTCTCAAGACAGGGGATATTCTTTCAATTCTTTCACGCCAATCTCGGGGCTCTTTTTAAAATTTTCCCCAAAAAATCCCTACTAGTAAAGAGGAAAATTATTTGGAGCAGCTAAGTGGCATTTTAGTTATGCAGACGAATGACTCTTCATTGTGCTGTGTTTAAAAGACTCCAAAGAATTCAAGATAGGTTTGTTACATTAACACAGTGGTTCTCAACCTGTGGGTCGGAACCCCATTTGGGGTCGAACGACCATTTCACGGAGGTTGCCAAACATCACAGTCCGCCATTTTTTTCTCCCTTTTCCTTAGCTGTGCTACTCCCTTTTATTCTATTGGCTTTTGAAAGCCAATAGAATAGACTCTCTTGAATAGAGTCTAATTCTATTGGCTTTCAAAAGCAAATAGGAATTGTCCAGGCTGTCTCTGCCCTGCTGAGCCCGCCAAAAGTCCCAGTCTGCAAACAGTGCTGCACCAGTCGAGTAGTCCTCGACTTACGACCGGTTGAGTAGTCCTCGACTTACAACCGGCTGGGGGTCGCGGCATTAAAATACAGAACCACTGTATTAACAGAATTCAGAGGTCAGATTATAATATAATGCCCCTGTGACTCTGGACACGCAGAAACAACAAAGCATGTGTCTCAAAGCTGCTTTTTCAAAAGGCAACCGGGCTGTTTTTCCCTAAGGAAAAATTCCTCATCCGAGAAGCGCAGTTGGTTCTGACCAAGTCTGATGAAGCTTAACGGATGAAAAGAGAAACATCTTCTTCGTCCTTAAGGGGGGAAAAAAATCCAGTTGCCTTTTGAAAAAGCAGCTTTGAGACAACTATGACCTGGATGGCTGAGAATCTCCACAGACAAACAAGAGCACCTGCTTTTCCAGTGGCTGTATTACAGAGGCTCATCTCACCATTACTGCATAAATACTCAGGGCACCCAAAACAATTCTGCATGTGCCAGCTGCTTTCAGATAGAAACCCTGCTATAACATATGTTAACAGATTCTGAGGATCCGCACTTAAAACTTGTCAGAGGATGGATGACCTGTGTCATAAATTAGTCTTGCTGAGCATCCAGCTTGTCATATTAGACTTTGCACAGTGATAAATTTAATATGCCATATTAAATTTATGCTTATATGTTCCTTTATGCTCTCTGTTCCAAGCCCTCCTTTTAGATTCCATTTAGACTTCTCTTTTCATATATATTCTTTTTTATCCCCTCTTTCTCTTTCTTTTTCTCTCTCTCTCTCCCCCTGTCCCTCTCCCTCCCTCCTGTTATCACATCAGATTTTATTATTCTTAGGAGCTGAAAATGCTTGATATGGTTCAAAAGCCTCTGGATCTTTGAGAGGACCATACTACAATGCAAACTCTTGGTGACTACAGTATTCTGATGCCTTTTGGGAATAAAAGGGGACATTAATAAGAGGGAATGGAAGGGAAGAACATGGAAGAATTGATGGCTGGCTGCTGAAAAAGTTCATTACAGAGAGTGTGTTTTTATTATTATTATTATTCTCTAAAAATGTTTTTTTGTCTTTTGGGACATGTCTCATATTTACAACCAAAATGCCAGATGGCAAAAGAGGGGCAATGGCGAGGGATAACAATTTATGTCATGCTTAAGACTTAAGTGTGGAACACTAATCAAGGATATCATTCATTTATTTTATCTATGTATCAGACTTAACTGCCTGTCTCCCTCACAGAGGGGTCTGAGCAGTGTACACATTCATCAGTACAATAAAATATTAAAAACCGTATAATTTAAGATTAAAAATGTAAAACACTATAAATTTATTGATATTAACAATTGATTGAACTTGAATATGCAAAATACAAAGTAGAATTATTGAAACCGACACTAATAATGGAATACCCAGATTAATCAGACCGCACAAAATCTAATATAGAACGAATGAATTCAAGCAAAATTAACCAATCCTCTTAGATATACACAATGTTATTTCATTTGTTGTAAACTTCCATACTGCAGTTACCACTTTTCTGTTAAAAGGTCAGATATGAATTCTCTCCATATTTGTACTGTTAATTGAAGATAGATCAATTTTATTAAAAACATGCCCTGCCTTCTATGATGTCCCATTCTTGTGATTAAAGAAACAAAAAGGTGCTTTAATGGGTTTTTCTCTTTGTTTAGGAGCCATTCCACAATTTCATTTTGTTTTGAAGTTGTTTTCCCCTTTAAAGTCATATTTTGCAACAGTAGAGTTTCCGAGTGGTGAGCAAGCTTTCACATTCACCAGAGATCCTGAGGATAGGGTGCTTCTCCCAAGGGTTGTGTTGTGACACTCAGAACTATAAACAGCGGGGAATTTGAATGAAGACTCAGTTAGGAGGAGAGCCATATGAGTCTCTGGTAGCCAAAAATCGGAAGGCATCCAATAGCAGCTTCTCAGTCTACCATATTTTATAAAGAGGCATATATCTGTGTCAGCTATGCATTCTAATACAATTGGTTAGAAAGAAAAGATGGTAGCAGAATCCTGACATATCTCAGAAGGGGTAAAAATTAATTGATCTCTTATTCACTATTTTTTTCGTTGTGCTGTATATTTCATTACATTAAAATTTTTGACTGTCAAAAATGAATGCTTCACTCAAAGCACAGTGACACACTTTGCATGCAAATGCATAGCAGCACACATTTTATAATCCTTTAAATGTTTCTAAAGTTTATCAATTTCTTCTACCATATATAGTCACCCTCTCTTTTTAAGTGCATTTTTCTGGGTGGGTCCTGCTGTGTGCCTTGATTTGATGTAATGGAGATTTATGGGCAAGGAATTTTACCGAAGCAGATGACACTTAGCAGATTTAAAATCTCCTCCACTAACAAAGCAGGCTTGTTGGGAATAGCAGATTCAAGAGGCTCTGTGCACTTGGATGCCATCTCTCATCTGTACAAGTGAAGGTGGCACTTTTGGGACCTCTGCCTTGCCTTGTCCTATATCCATGGGAGCCCCAGGAAATCAGTCAAAGTTTTTGGGGTGTAGAGAGTTTTTGATCTCTCCTGAGAATCAGCCCTGCGAAAGGACAGGAATTTTTAAGTGAGTTTTTTGCAAACTACTCTCAAGTCTTTTGCCCAAGCTGTTTGGGAGTAATAAGGCTGAAAACTAACTCCTCTAGGGATTGGGAAGGCTGCTCAGAGCAATTCTGCCCTCTGGTGAAATTTAGGCTTCCCAATAATAGAGATAGGAAGATCACATGTATCTCCTATCTAGAAGTAGTTTGGTGGCAATGCTTGTCGAAGCTTCCAGATTTGTCCCACATTTCATTATTAATTGGGTGAAGCTGCAATGATTTTAAAGGCTGTACACAAACACGAAACCTTCATGAACGTCTAGAGTCCAACACCTGGCTAATCTTTTTGTGCCTTATCTGTTATCGGACGTTGGCGATCATGTTGACGATCCTGTTTTTATCAGCAGCCGCACGAAAAAGTGCTGCTGAGTTTTGTCCAAACCAGTCCCTTAGAATAGATTTTGAAGCCACGATGTTCTTCTTCTGCCTGGACCTCGTTTGCCTTCAATCTTTCCCTGGAGGATTAAATGGAGTGTGCTGTATTTTTCTGGGTGTCTCATCACATGTCTGAAATATTCTAATTTTCTTTTTTTAATTGTTTTGATGATTTCCCTTGGCTTCCCCAGGCGGTTTATCACCTCCTCATTTCTGATCTTGTCAACCCAGCTTATACGTAACAGCTGCCTGTAAATCCATATTTCAAATGCTTCTAGTCTCTTCAGGTGGCCTTCTGTCAGAGACCAACTCTCTACTCCATAGAGCAGGATAGAAAAAAATATAGCATCTGACATCTAATCTTACGAAGTTAAAT